AGAATGGGACCCCCCCATTCTCTTCCTATAGCCTGTGCCATATTTCGGGAGGCTGCAAGGAGGGCTCACGGCTCGAAGAACCATCATCATCAAGGGCTATGTGCCCCCCACAGGCAAGAGGTATAACGTAGACTAGGTGGGAACCCCCAGCCCCCTCCTCCCTCCTCAGACCCAACAGTCTAGACCCTCTGTCCCCTCCTCCTTTAGGGACTCAGAGGTCCAGCCCACAGGCCCCTCCCCATTGGACTCCATCTGACTCCCTGCTCCCTCTCTGTCCCCAGCTTTGCCATCAACTTCAAGGTGGGCTCCACGGGGGACATAGCTTTGCACATTAATCCCCGCATGGGCGACGGTACTGTGGTCCGGAACAGCCTTCTGAAAGGCTCGTGGGGATCCGAGGAGAAGAAGATCACGCATAACCCATTTGGTCCCGGACAGTTCTTTGATGTGAGTCTGGGTTCTCTTTTCCCACTTCCTTCCAGGGCCTTGGTCCTGGCCCTGGCCTCACGCCCCCCACTCTCCCTGCAGCTGTCCATTCGCTGTGGCTTGGATCGCTTCAAGGTTTTCGCCAATGGCCAGCACCTCTTTGACTTCGCCCATCGCTTCTTGGCCTTTCAGAGGGTAGACACGGTGGAAATCCAGGGTGATGTTACCTTGTCCTATGTCCAGATCTAATCTATTCCTGGGGCCATAACTCATGGGAAAATAGAATGATCCCCTAGGACTCCTTTCTAAGCCCCTAATAAAATGTCTGAGGGTGTCTCATGAGTGTGTGTCTCCATCTGCTCCCCCACTACTCTTCCTTCATTCAGTCATGCACTTCATCTATCCTTCATCCATCCAGTCATCTGACCATCCATCCTCCCATCATCATAAACCTGGTTATGCCCCAAGCACTGATTTAGGGCTCATTCATTTCTCACAGCAACCCCAAGAGGTAGAAACAATTATTATCATCCCTCTGTAACAGATGAGGAAACAAAGGAAAATGAAACAAATTGCCCAAATTACACAGTGCATAAATGGCAGAAGGAGGATTCAAATCCAGCTGGTCTGGCTCCCAAGGATATGCACACCTAACCACTATACAGCCTCTCGTTCCATACATCCATGCATCCATCTCTCCACTCATGTATCCAACCAAAAGTCCATCCAACCATCCATCAATCAAACATCCAACATCTAGACCTCATCAATCCATCCATTGATCAGATGGTTCAACCATCTTTCATCCAACCTTTTATCCACCTACCTATCCACCCATCCATTTACCTCTGCACTCATCATCTCATGGTCAATCTCTCCAAACATCCAATCAACCATATGTTCACCCACTCATCCAAACATCCAACCATTCTTTCATTCGACACTTTATCCATCACCCATGCATCTAACCATCCGTCATCCTCTCCATCCATCCAAACATCTAACCATCTACCAGTCCATCTGTCTATTCATTCAGCCATCCTTACATCTAACTTTCGTCCATCCATTCATTTCTTCATCCCTCTATTTGTCCATGTAATTCTCTGCTTTCATCACACTCATCCATTTGTCCTCCATATGCCCATTCATCCCTCCATTCAGCCATTCATCACTTTTCCATCTCTTTCTATCCAAATATCCATTCATCTCTTCATTATCTATTTTTTTACCCTTTTCCAACTCAAGCTGGAAAGTTATCCATTCATCTATCTTTTCATCTCTCCATCTATCCACCCAACCATGCATTCATCAAATCACTCTTTTGCTGATTTCATCATTCATTGATTTCTTGTTTTGTTTTTATTTTTATTTGTTTATTTTTTGAGACAGAGTTTTGCTCTTGTCGCCCAGGCTGGAGTGCAATGGTGTAGTCTCAGGTCACTGCAACCTCCACCTCCCCGGTTCAAGCAATTCTCCTGCCTCAGCCTCTCAAGTAGCTGGAATTACAGGCAGCTGCCACCACACCCGGCTAATTTTTGTATTTTTAGTAGAGACAAGGTTTTGCCATATTGGCCAGGCTGGTCTTGAACTCCTGACCTCAGGTGGTGCACCCGCCTCGGCCTCCCAAAGTGCTGGGATTACAGGCATGAGCCACTGTGCCTGGCCCATTCATTGATTTTTTTTTTTTTTTTTTAGAAGGCGTCTCGCTCTGTTTCCTAGGCTGGAGGCAGTAGTGTGATCTCGGCTCACTGCAACCTCTGTCTCCTGAGTTCAAGCGATTCTTCTGCCTCAGCCTCCTGAGTAGCTGGGGCTACAGGTGTGTGCCACCATGCCCAGCTAATGTTTGTATTTTTAGTAGAAACAGGGTTTCACCATGTTGGCCAGGATGGTCTCGATCTCTTGACCTCGTGATCTGCCCACTTCGGCCTCCCAAAGTGTTGGGATTACAGGCGTGAGCCACTGCATCCGACTGATTTATTTACCTTTTCATTCATCCCTCTATTCTTTATTCACTCTTGTGTTTACTGATTCACCATTCACTGACTCACCCACTTTCAAATTAGCTGGGTTGGCTTTCTGATGTAATGGGTTAGCAAGCTTCAGGACAAACCACAAAGTGATGAATTAAACCTTCTATATTGTTAATTGGATAAAATGCTGTAAAACCGGTTATAAGCATGACTCAAACTAAGTTGAAATGTTCGCATGTCTAAAGCAACTTTCTGGAGTGATGGATATGTTCCATACCTTAGGTCACACAGCTCTGTGCATTTGTTAGAACTCCTTGGCTCATATATTTTATTTTGTTTTATTACATTTAAATGTATTTATTTTATTAAATTCTCTTTTTATTTTTGTTTTTATTGAGATAGGATCTCACTCTATTGTCCAGGCTGGAGTGCAGTGGTGTGATCACAGTTCATTGCAGGCTCAACCTCTGGGACTCAAGTGATCCTCCCACCACAGCCTCCCAGGGTGGGCACCACCATGCCCAGCTAATTAAAAATATATATATTTGTAAAGACGGGGTCTCCTTATGTTGCTCAGGCTGGTCTCGCATCCCTGGGCTCAAGCAATGCTCCTGCCCTAGCCGCCCAAAGTGTCGGGATTACAGGTGTGAGCCACTGTGCCCAGCCAACTGTACATTTTAGATTTATGCATTTCACCGATATAAACAAAGAATCTTTCCACAAAGCTTACCAGAAAGAAAGAATCATAAACAAATATTGTACTCTACCTAATGATATACTTGCTGAAATGTTTAGGGGTGACAAATCCTGATGTTTACAATTTACTTCGAATGGATAAGTAAATAAAATGATGGCTGGGTGCAAAGGCATAATAATCCCAGCACTTTAAGAGAAATGGTGGGAAGACTGTTTGAGCCCAGGAGTTCAAGACCAGCCTGGGCAACACGGCAAGACCCTGTCTCTACAAAAAATTTAAAAAGTAAGCCAGATGTGGTAGCAAACATCTGTAGGCCCAGCTGCTAGGGAGGCTGAGGCAGGACGTTGGCTGGTACCCAGGAGTTCAACACGCCGTGAACCATAATCACGCCACTGCACTGTAGCCTGGACAACAGAGCAAAACTCTGTCTGTTTCTTAAAAAATACCAAATATTAAAATAAGATAAAGAAATAGTGCTCGCTTCGGCAGCACATATATTAAAAATTGGGATGATACAGAGAAGATTAGCATGGCCCCTGTGCAAGGATGACACGCAAATTCATGAAGCATTCCATATTTTTTGGCCAGGCATGGTGACCACGCCTGTAATCCCAACACTTTGGGAGGCTGAGGCAGGAGAATCATGAGGTCAGGAGTTTTTTTTTTTTTTTTGAGATGGAGTCTCGCTGTCTCCCATCAGCTCACTGCAAGCTCCGCCTCCTGGGTTCATGCCTTTCTCCTGCCTCAGCCTCCCAAGTAGCTGGGACTACAGGCACCTGCCAACACGCCTGGCTAATTTTTTATATTTTTAGTAGAGACAGGGTTTCACCATGTTAGCCAGGATGGTCTCGATCTCCTGACCTCGTGATCCGCCCGCCTC